CAAAATTCCCACATGCTCCTCGGGAGAAAACGGTGGCTTCCTACTCCCATAAAGAGTTACAGCCTTCGAAACTCAGAGAGGCAGTTCTATACTGTCCTATGGGATTGCTATGAGTCAGCATCCACTCGACAGCAGTGAGTTTGCTTTTGGAAGCTACCTGGAAGGTAACAGATATACAGCTGCTTTCAAGCTTTAGTAGCCTTTTAATAGAATGACACCACTTTAAAAACAGACTTTTGACCTTCTCCAATGCCGTTTTAAGTATTATGACTTTAATTGTTCCCATGTTCTTTCAAGGCTAGGAAAAAACCTCACTAGCATTAGAGTCAAAAGGAATAAAAAGACAAACTGTCACAACTGCAGACACTTGGCTATTTTATTTGCCAAGCGTAAAACCAAAAACAGGCAAAAATATTACAGGAAATTAGTACTTAATATGGATGAATACCTTCTGCTGTTTACAAAAGCACAAGCTCCAGAAATGCACCAAATTATATCATTAAAAATAAGTTACCAAATATGCGTAGAAAAATGGAAAAGACACCCTACCAAAATCATGTGAAGCCTTAAGCAGCAGGACCAAGTCCAGAGTCACTGCAGACGGCCCTCATTCAGCAAACGCATGTGACAACGCCGACATCCACCTTGCTTTCTTCCATACCTACAAATAAACCCACGGGGCTGCCCTAGAAACAAGTCTAGAAAATGGGGGCCTTTTTGGTGAAAAGCTTTTGCAAACACAGAAACAAAATATCTCCTCCCTGGTTAAAAGGACGCAAGGATATCAACAGAAAGCAGATGCCAATCCTGTTCCCTCGGGCTACGGGGAGCTGCTGGCACAAGCCTGTTTGGGTAGTGGGAGGAGGCACAGCACTTGAGTGAAAAGCGAGTGGAAAAGGCCAGTTGGCAGGAGGAGACACACAGTGGAAGCCCGGCCAAGGCTTAAATATTGTCAACGTGACGAAGGGACTCATGTCACTGCCAGGCTGCATGCTGCCTCTGGGAGCGGAATAGACAGAGGAAGGCGGGCTGGGACTTAGCTGGAGCTCTCGTATTTGTGTTTCATAAAAGAAAGCTGACGCAAACAGGGCAAACCAGTGACACACATAGGACGCCTGGCTGGTAAGTACAAGAGCAGCTGCCACCTGACACTGGAGCACTGCTGGGAGCCTGGAGCTAGGGACAGCAGGGTGCGGAAGAGGGCAAGGGCAAGGGCTTGCTTCACAGTCTTTCCATCACCAAGAACCACCTGGCAGGTTCAGTACCAAGTAGACTCCTGGAAGGCCCCAGATGAACTGTGAAACAGGTGCAAAGGGACCAGGTGTCTGGACAGAGGCCCCCAGGGCATCTGAGAAGGTGCCACGCTCACAGAGAAAGCCCACCTAGTGCTCTTGGAGCCATCAGAGACCACCGAGAAAATGCATCCCCCACTCACACATCCTCCTTCAGCTCTCAGGGGCCAGGTTTCAAAATTCTCCTCCCTGTTCCCACCCCCCAACTAGATGGAACCCTCTCTGAGGTTTCTTTCTGGGTTTCAGGAGCAGCCTGTTGAAGTGATGAGAGGACAAAAGACACACAACCAACCTGACCAGGAAGCCGCCCAGCACACTCCTCGTCTGTCACAACGGAACCGAGCCCTAACACAAGAGAGCCCAAGTCCAAGCCTCAAGGAGCAGCCACCATTTTCAAAGAAAAGCAACCTGTTTTCATCTCGATTCAGAAATGAGAATTGACTGAAGGGCCAAGCTCCTGGGCCCTGATGATCAGCTAAAGTTACACATGTCCAAGTGAAGACTTCCAAGTTTCACTTTCTAGCCAACACCTGGAGGTTTCCAAAAGTTCGGGGAACCCCGTTATCTCTTTAGTCTGTTTTTCCTCGAACTTTTGGCCCCTTGGTATTTCCTCCCTGCTCTCAGTGCCATGAACAGTCACAAGCCCACAGAGGCTTTCTGTGACAAATCCTGTGATTCCAGGCCACTGCTGATGCAGCACTCTGACCCAGGTTGAAGATGCACACAGCCTAGGATCCAAAACGCTCTCTTCTATGAACTGACTCTACAGGGAAATTGGCCAGCGAGCACAGGGGCCTATGGGGAGACTCACTGTGGCATCCGTGAACTTCTGACGGGAACCAAGGACTCATCACTAGAAAACTGGCGGGCTAATTTAAGAACCTTAGAGTGACACAGAGCACCACAAACTCGAGAGTGTTTCACTGTTTAGTAAGCACACACAGCCTTATTTGGATATGTGTGAGGGCGCCACAAGTGTGTATGTACCTAAAAGATACATACACATGCAATGAAGACTAATGGTAGCTGCTTCCAGGGAGGAATCTGGACAGCCTAGTTTGGCAGGAGAGTTTCCACCATCTTGAAATTTAAAAATAAGCCTCACAACCACCAGCAGCCTCATACAATAAGCCTTTGCCCTAATTGTCAATCATTTTCTATGCCATCTCCTTTAGGTAAAAAGGATTCTCAGTCCAGATCAGGACTCCACTTCAGTTCAGAGGCTATTTCTGCGCATTAAATGCTGCTGCAAGTTGCAAAAATGACATCCACTCCTCTTAGAATACAGTCACCTAAAGTCGGCTTCATAGGATCAGCTATCACAAAAAAGTTTCAAAGGATTGTTTTTGTCAGCATGCAGCTTATGGTCCACCACAACAAAGCTGAGTGAGTAGAGAACTGTTCCCAAAGGCGCTCATCATACTTTAAGGCGACATCAGAGAGGGAAAACAACCACCCTGCAACACCTAAAGCGCACACACACCTGGGCGGCCAGCTGCTTACATAAGACACTTCTGCAGAGACCCGCGCTCTCCTTGAATCTTCCAGAATAAGCACTCTAGCCAGCTGGCCACATTACTTCTGTGCCTGTCCCCTTCCCACCCGTCTGTCTTGCTCCACCCAGCCTCAGAGAAGGAGGTCAGCATAGCCTCCACGACTCGGCACCATCCTTGGCCCAAATCAGGTGCCCAAATATGTTGGTAGATGAATAAATGGCTATCTGCTAACAGCCCTGCCGCCAGGAAGTATCACAAAGAAAACACCTAGAAAGAGTAACTTTATGAAGAACATAGGACAGTGTTTGACAGATTATTTTCTTTACTTTAAGACTTTTGCATATGATAAAGGAAAAAAATCAGACATACTCAACAGATGGCTATGATCCGCTGACCAATCAGATTGAGACCTCACTGTGCTCTAAAGTATTTTAAAAACTGTAAAACAAATACAGGATACTTACCTATAATCTTCTGTGTGTGGCTAGTAAATTAAGGACTTTTTTTAAGGATGAAGAATTATCTGTTCTTAACGTCAAAAAGATTTTTTCAGTAAAAAAGTACAAGAAAGCCTAACAGATGTTTTACATGTTAAAACGACAAGTAAAACCAAGATTTATGACAAAGCAGGAAAATATTTGCACACTGAAAAGAATGACTATCCTCACTACACTGAGTTCTTACAAATCCATTTAAAAGGGAAGAGCGGAGCAGAACATAAGCAGACAGCTCACAAGACACAATACAAACAGTCAATCGTTGAGCTTCTATGTCCTAATACTCAGGAGCACAAAGATGGCCCCACTCTGGGAAAAGGGCACGGAAAAGTGGGCCTTTCTCTAGATGTAGCACCCCCAGACGACAGCTCATAATGAAATCATGTCTAGTATCAGCACACATTGCTACTGTCCGAGGAGAAGATGGAGAAGGCTCTATATTAAACCTAAAACTAAAGGGGAGCTGTCAGCTTTTTATTCAAGGGACTTTCATAGATTTTCTATAAAAGCACATAGGATTTTGTCACATCATAAAAAAGGAAAAATGGTAAGTTATCAAGCATCGAACTACTAAGGAGAGGCTTGGGCCTTGGCGAACTCTCCTCAAAATTTCTTGAAGCTCAAATGGCCACGTCCTTCCCATTCATAAGTAATGAGATCCTTTAAAGAAAAACACTTGTACTGTCTACATTTCTTCAGAGAAACTGTATACTCTCACCAATGCCTGCCTTAAAAATCCATTCGTGCGAGGAGAACAAGAACATCAAGGTCTAAAGCCGACCAGAAGAAAGCCTTCGCTCCCCAGATTACATTCAGGCAACAGCATCTTGGAGACAATGCAAGGACTGTTCACCACGCAACTCCCACCAGCACACATCCACTGGAGCACAAAGAACATCCTGTACATGTGGCCCGGGGCACAGGCTTTAGTAGTGAAGGAGAATAACCACTGGAGTCACAGGATCAGGAGAGGAACCAAAGCAGAGAGAGGTGCAAAGCTCCGCCTCTGTCCAGTATCCACTCTCCGCCACCTGGGCCCACCAGCCCCGGCTTCAAAAGCTCCAGCTACTGGCTCCTTGATCTGAGCAGGAAACACACTGGCAGTGCCTGTGACATTCACCATTGGTCTGCCTCACCATGCTGAACATATGGAATCCAGGGGTCAGAAGACCCAGTGTGGCCCGGCCATGGAGAGATGACACTGACCCCCAAATGAAGTATGCACATGGTGCCCCCCTCACCTGAGCCCCAGGCCTAAAAACAACTTAAAGCCCCAGCTCTGCCCAAAGCCTGCTGCTCTGGCGTCTACTTATGGACCAGGGAGGTTAAAGCGCTCTGGGCCGCTGCCGCCCACACACCAGTGAGCCATGCCTTGAAGACAAAGCTGCAGGGGCGACTGAGGCCCTGGGCAGGGGAGCAGCAGCAGGCGGTGGTACAGGGAACAGGAGGGTCCACCAGTTCCAGCTGAACTCTGCCGCCTGCCCCTGCATCACGCTGTGGCTACCAAGGAACCCTACCCAAATGGACCGTTCAGGGCTCAGGGAAGTGACTTTTTTTTATTATATGGCACAGTTTGGCACAGTCCCATCTGTAGTCTGTGGGGTACTTGATACTGTCCAAGAGTGGGATCTCTTTTTTGTTCCTTTTTTTTCTCTTTAAAAACAGATGGCCAAACCAGGACATATACTAAAAAAAAAAAAAGGAAGGTTACTTACCTGAGCCCTAACATCCCAGCTACCATGGGATCCTGCTGGAGCTGGTCTACAGAAGCAAGGTGTATTCTGGGGAGTCACATGTCACATCAAAGCAGGAGCTGATGAGCTGTACTTTTATGGAGCCTAAAACAAAGAAAATTGTAAGTTGAAAGTCCCCATTGTGTGCACAACCTTCTTCCCAGGGCAACTTGGGACATTGTGAAGATGCACACAGTGCTAAGCTGGTGCCCAGTGGGCCCAGCACACACAGAAAGGCTCCCTCCTGGCCACAGAGACACACACAAGTCTCATCACTGTCAGGCAACAATTTGACATGACTGTAAAGCCTACCATCGTGCCAAGTGCTGCTGCCACCAAGTCACACAGAAATATTCTGGGAGCGAAGACGTGTACAAGAGAACATGCAGCCTCAACCTGCTGTCCCAGAAAGAACACGTGAGGTCAAGAAGCCAGTCTCCCTCGTCCAAACAGCTGACGTGTTGCAGAGAGCTGTGACGCCGCCTCAAGGGGCTTGAAGCCCACGTGAGCAGCAGCACCATTGGCAGCCCCCATAACCCTGCAGGACCAGTGAGACACCATATCCACCATCCTCAGTCTCCTCTGGTCACTGCCCTTTTGCTTTGGAGCCCAAGTTCCAAAAAGAACTTCTGTCGCTATATTTTTTGTCCAGAAGATAAACACTGTTCCCGGCTATACTCTCACCCACAAACCAGCTAATCAAGGGGCCCTGGCTGGGCTGGCCCCATGCACACGCTGGTCAGAGATGAGTTTACCTCCAGGCAGGCAAGCACCCGTGCTGCCACTGCAGCCATCCCTAGAAAGTCAAAGGCACCCTGGTGGTAGCCTGAGGCCCAGGAAGCTCCAGCCATTTTCCTTATAAGATCATGGATTTGCTCAAGATGCCAGGAAAACGAAACAAAACAAAAACATGCCAGAGGAGAACAGGGATGGTGAGAGGCACAGGGAGACAGTGAGGGCAGGTCCACACACCTGATCCCACCAGTTCCTAAGGAGCGAGCCTTGCCTGAGGCTCATCTCACCAGCTTCAGAGGTGCTGTCCAGAACCAGCCACTATGGTGACTGCACCCCAGCTACCTGCCACTGTCACATCCCTCTGAAGACATTACAAAGGCCGAAGCGTGTGCCCCAAATGTAGCCCACCCACCATGCACACTATGGCCACTTCCTCAGGGCCTAGAGAGGCTGGCCAGCTCAAGCAGCCACTGCTCACACACGTTCTCAACAAGGCACAGTCGTGACAGTAGCAGCTGGCCTGGGAAGGACTGGTACAGAAGCACTAGGACAAGTTGGAGCCGGAGTGGCAATCAAACTCTACTCAAGCGAGAGTGGTGTTCACTATCACAGCTGTGTTGCAGGGCCAGGACAACTGCTCTTGGGGCAGTTGGACCAGTCACTGCAGAGGCTAGGTCAGGAGGGTGCCTCACCACGGGCTGATCCTAACCAACCAAGAAGGGACTTCAAAAAGTTTGGAGGAAAATGCAATGCTTTTTCAATTTCATTTTCCAACCAAACCTCTTGTAGCCCCTTTGTGGCTGGGGGCTTATTCCTAAGGCCCACCCTATTGCCAGGCTGGTCCCTTCCAACCCCTCATTCACTTGATAAAGGGGCAAGGATTCCAAGGCACAGCACCCAGCATGAAAACAGTCCTAAGGAGGAGACCAAAAGAGGTGACCACGAGACAGACACAAGTAAAGAGGCAGCTACGTGAACTGGATGCGAGCGAGCCACAAGCGTATGGACACCAAACCAGTGACCCCATCCTGCTTAAGGAGCTCATAGGCAGACAGGACAAATGCCAGCTTCAAGGAGCCCAAGTGACGCAGAGGTTAAGAGCACTGCTGCCAACCAAAAGGCTGGTGGCTTGAACCTACCAGCTGTGGCAGTGTGCTCCGTAAAGATGACAGCCTTGGAGATGCTGTGGGGTAGTAGTTTTACTCTGTCCTAGTTGACTCCATAGCAGGGCGCTGGATTTCCTCTAGACTGAAAGCGCGCCACGCCGAGGTCTTAGAATAGGGCACAGACACGTGTGCCACCAGGCCCTCTTCCTGAGAAAACAAGCTTTGGGAGGATGCCGCAGTTATGTTTAAGGAGCTGGGGCTGGGGGAGGCAGACCCCTCCTCCTCAGCCACTAAAAGCAAACTGAGCCCTAGTCCCATCACGCCCACAAGGATGGGCACAAGGGGTCCCCGTCCACCTGCTATGATTGTGCTACGGTGGACAGAAGTCCACTGTCCCCTTACACCACACAATGTGCTCTCTGCGAGTCACATGGGCTCAGGTACAAAGAGAAAAGCAAGCCTTTCATGTTTCCTGACTGGGATTTGAAGGATCTATCCCAAATAATAAGCCTGTCCCCCAAGTATCCCAGCACACCCAAGCCCAAGCCTGGTCATTTTACCGGGACCCAGTACACTTCTGCTGAGCAGTCCACTCCCCACAGCCCCAGACCAAAGCATAGGAGACCACTGCCACCAGTTACCCACCCCCACGGCTGCCTGGTGACCTGCCCAGTGGGCTTGCTGGTCCCGCAGAACCCCGTTCGCATTGCTGGGAACATCACCATGAGTCAGGATGATCCATTTTGCGGCGGAGCCCAGCTCTGCTGCCACCAGCCCACACCCGAGCGCAGTTGACAAAGCCACCGTTACCAAGGTGGAAAAGGGAGCCCTGCCATCTCCTCCACTCAGGCTTGTCCTCGGCAGGGTCACCGGCTGAGGGTCACAGTCTTCTCAGGCTCTCCAGAATGACCTTATGTAGTCAGCGTAAAACCAGAGAGCCAATGCTACTGTCAGAAAAGTCACTGAGCTCCAGTTGGGGTGATCCGGTTAGGATGCAGGCGAAGGGACTCAACTTCCAGGCGCAGCAGGAGCCCCGCCAGCCCAGAGCTGGCCACAGCTGGTGGCCAGTGGCGGCCCTGGGTGCTCCAGGCTGTGGGCGCCTGGACATACTATGTCCCACGACACTTATGTAACTAGAGGCGCGCTGGTGACAGGGGATAGGCAGGCACTCCAATCCCAAAGTTTCGGAGCTCCCCCAAAGCGTGGAGCATCCAGGGGATGGGGTATGCTCACGTCCAATAGTCTCCTGGGCGGCCAGACAAACAGTCCCCGACCCAGGGCCCCAGAGGGACCAGGCGCCTTCTTTATGATGAGTGGCAGCGGCTGGCACACTGTGTCCAGCCCCTTGGGTAGGGGGGCAATAACTCCCGCCTCCTTGTGCCGCTAAGCAGGAATCGGGGCGGCGAGGTGGCCTGGCTTCCAGTGGGGGCTCTGAGTCGGGAGCAGCGAGAAGGGGGAGGCCGCGCCTGGGAATGGGGGTGAGCGCGCAGGAGCCCTTGTGGCGCACTCTCCCGACAGGAGGCGGACTGCGCAGGCGCGCCGCTGGGTTGGTTGGGGCGGGG